AGTGCCGTTACAACTTTGAACCAGCAGTGGGATCCTACCTCTTCCACTACTGATTCGGTAATCGCACACGCATGCACCTTAATGTGCGCGCAGCTTTTCCCACACCAACTGAGGCCTGCAGCGCCAATCAACTGAGAGGATAAAGAAGAGAAAAAAAGGTGCAGGGTTGTTTTTTTTGCTACTGGTTCTCCCGAACCAGGCCGAACCAGAAGCATACCACCACTCCTCTGAGCGGTCACTAAATGAACTCAGTGCTGGTATTCTACCAGTTTGGCCCAGTTCTGCCGAGCCAGTAGCGCCGATGAGCAGCAGAGACTGAAGTGGTTTCTCTCCGCTGCTCTGCTGTTGGGCCCACCTGGGCTTCCATACTCACCTTTATTCAAGGGTCGGATGCTACCAGTTCTGCCCGGTTCTGTAGAGCCAGTGGCTGTGAAGAGCAGCAGACACCAAACCAGTTCTGTGTTTGCTGCTGTTTGGCTCACCCGGCTGCCCGAGGTTTTACCTGTCCTTTATTTCCTGCTTTTTCAACCTCAGCTGCTTTGCGCGGCACAGCTGAGGTTGAAAAAGCAGAGGGGAGGAAAGGCTTTTCAAACTCTGCGCACCTGCGCGCAGCGCTTTTCAGCTGTCTGGGAGGCACAGCTGATGTTTTGTTTACACGCGAGCGTAAAACGTAGTCACTGAACCGGTAGTAACACCGGTTGAATCCTACCTCTGCCTTTATTCCTTGCTTTTGAAGCGCAGCTGCTTTGCGCGGCACAGCAGAGTGTTGCGCGGCAGCTGCTGAAGCAACAGGGAGAGTGCAGGCTTGCAGGAAGCGAGTCGGAACACCTCTGCGCCTGCGCAAAGTGCATGTTTGGCACATGCGTGCATGCAAAGTGTGTGCACGTGTGCAAAGCGCGCCCACCAAGCCACGCCCACCGCACCAGTGGTAAAAATCTTTGAATCCCACCACTGAATGAACTGTTGTAAGTTGAGGACTACCTGTATATACCTTTCTGCCGTATCTACTTCAGCTTCACTACCCTTTACTTTGTGTTGATCCAGCATATGGCAATACCAGAAGCTGAACAGCTATCAAGAAATTCCGCTAACGCAACTTCTTCCTAACTTTGGGTTCTTCCAGAGCTGTTGGGACTACATAGCCCACCAGCTCTGGCAGGTGTGCTTTTGTAGATGAGAAGCCGTCTTTATGCAATTCAGCAAAACAACAACCACCACCGCACACATAACTGTAGGCAAAAAGGAAATGCTTTTACTATGAAAATCGACAGCTCATCTCTTTGTACAATTACAACATTAGCAAAACATTTGCCGCTTAGAAACACAATGCTTGTTTTTCCCAAAGGTTCCCTTTGCAATAAGCAATATTGGGAGGGGTGGGGTTTAAGATCCTGAGAGTTGGGAGAAAAACTCCCCACCAACCAAGGCATCATTTGCTTTACAATTCCCCTCCAAGAGGCTTTATACCAACCTTCTCCATCCAACAGTCCCATGTGAAATCACATGCTCAAAATTACAGTCATCAAGCTGCAGCAGAGAAGGAAGGAAAATGTTTTATGTAATAGAATAATCAATGGAATCTACACGTCACTTAATCAACATTTAACCAGGATGTCATTATTCCCTGTTCAGGTTTTCAAGACCTGATCTGACAGCACCATCATTATTTGACTTTATTCACCTATAACAGTGATTCTCAACCTTGGCCACTTGAAGGTGTGTGGACTTCAACTCCCAGAATTCCCCTACATACCTTTAAGCAGGGCTGGCTGGGGAATTCTGGGAGTTGAAGTCCACATACCATCAAGTGCCCGAGGTTGAGAAACAGTAACGTATAAGAAACCGGTCCCTTTTTGTTTTATGCCCTCAAATTAGGGCCAATTCCAAGAGACATAACAGGAACTTCCCAAACACGGCCTTATAGGTTTCCAGCTTGTGTGAACAAGTTCTTCGCTGAACTAGATATATGATGCTAAAGGACACTTAAACCAAGTTTAAGTCAGCTAAGTTCCACTCCAACTCCACCCAGCTTCTTGGATTCAAAAATCCAAATTGTGACCTTTACAAAAATGAAAAAAAAATTATCCCTTCCTTTGGGATGGCGTTCATTTTCCATCATACTCACAAAGAGGTCTCAAGAGGGATTAATCAACACAGCTGTTGGAAGTTAAAAGCAACTTGCAGTGTCAGTTGTCATCATTTTTTAAAATCAAAATTAATGGGAATCAGCAAGTAGAAAAGTGCTAAAAATAAAACCACGTTTGAGGCCCAAGCAAAATAAACTCATCTGACTGGCTTAGACAGGATGTACATTTTTTTCAAACGATGATACATTTAGAAGGGGACATGTTTTAAATTAAAAACACTTTTAAACAGCACAAAAGTTTTCCTAAGGTGCTTCCTAAGGGGAAAAAATGCAGAATTCGGCAGTCATCAAGTTTCCTCAAAGTGAAGTTACGTTATTTTCTAAATTACAGTACCTCTATCTAATTTGGGGGCTGGGGGTGTGTGTGGAGAGACAGATGGCATTTGTCCATAAAAATATTGTTATTTTATTTATCACATTTTTATACTGCCAACCACACCTAAGTGACTCTAGGCAGTTTACAATAAAAATGTATTTGACTAAAAGAAGCTCATACAAGATTAAGTGCCCCAAAGAGAATCTTGTGATTAAAAACTGAAAAACAGTGATTAAAATGAAAAACTTCTAACATACATACACATGACATTTGTTTCTCAGCATTTGGAATTTGAAAACCCCTCCTACTTAATAATAAACAATAATAACCATCTCCTACGGCATGTGGAACTGGAATGAACATTTCATAGCAGGCTTCTCTCGCTGTAGGAATTTGTACATCTTCAAACAAATCGGTCAACAAGAGATACATCTGAACCTAATATTTTGACGAAAATATTTTAATCACGTACTTTACTCAAATTCAGCCAACTACATGCAGTACATAATTTATACAAGCTGTCCTTCTCATCCTTGGCTACTTTTAAGAAATATGGACTTCAACTCCCAGAATTCTACATGGCTGGGGAATTCTGGGAGCTGCAAGTCCACATGACTTAAAATTTGACAAGGACGAAAAACACCATTATAGACTGCTCGCAGACTGTATATTTAAAGACAATTATGCCAATTAAACATTGCAGATAGCTATCTTCTGCTACAGATATTTTGGGTATTGAGACATTCAGGGCGTCTCTTAAACTTCAATCTCCTTTAGATGATTTGGGCTTTGATTCTTAAAATACTAGTATCAGCACTGTTGGTGGCGCAGTCCAACCCGAGACAACCTGGTTGTGGATATATATGGGATAAAATATTATTTTGTTTGAATTTATATTGTACAAGTCTAGCAAATATTGCCAGCGCTTTCTAGTATAAATTCCCACTCACAAGTAGAAAGTCATTATGAATTCATCCAAATCATATGTGCTATCCTGAGGGACAACATGAGCCCATATAGTCTACCCAGGCACTGGTCAACTATACAACCCATGTTCATTTCTTGGACCACAAGGAAATGTTTTCATGAGAGCGTGCAATTATCTTCCACAAGTACATGACTTGTCAGCAGGCAGAAAACCAGGCAAAAGACCTCTTGAAACGGAATTCAAGAATATTCTTTCCCAATTATTTCTCAGATAAAGTCTTCTGAGAACGTTAAAAGTTGGGTAACGAAGTAGTACTCCATATTATTTCTTACGTTTTCTTCAATTACAAATAGAAACCATCCCTTTGGGCAGGTACAGCTGAGGTAAGGCCCCTTTGATGTGCCCTAGATAAAACGCTACAGTTTCGCCAATTATTCCTACATTATACAGAAAAGGAAAACAAACAAAAGAAATATTGCTGATAGCACAGGACGCTTTTCTGAAAAACAAGATAGGTGGAGTGACATCACTCAGTCCTTTCCCAATTAGCCAAACTGAAAAAACAAACAAACCTGGGATCCAGGTAAACGTCTACACAAAATGTTTTCGTCGGGCCCTGTAAAACAAGACTGTCATGTTTCTAAATAGTTATTACAGAGTTGGATTGTTTAGTCTCCCCCTTAAAACTTCCTCAAGCTGCTGTCCTAGGTATGCTGAGACTACAATTCAAAGTTGAATCTAGACGCAATCTCAGCCAACCTATCTGAGAATGTTCCTGGTGCCAAATTAATATGAAAATTCATCCTGCTATCTGAAAACTGGACCAGTTCTTACTCCAAGAACTGGTCCTTTTTCCAGATAGCAGGATGGATTTATTTTAAGAGGCACAACGTATAAAACACAATTATGATGAAATGACGGCAGGAAAACGACAAAAACACACAAATTGAAATCCTTTCACGCAACTTGACGTTTCTCAGAGACTGCACAGGGATTTAATCACAGGAAGCAGCGACATTTTGAGACCATCTCCCTTCATGATCATTTCAAGTAAAATGGTGGCATTTCTCTCAGGGATGTTCAATGGGCGCTCTTGCATTCCCCGATGAATAAAACAAAATAAAAGTCAAACTATCCACTTTTTTTTCACGCTGCGCTGTCTTATCCAACTGCCTTCCCCTAGCAGACAGCACAGCCTGTAGAATTTAATTGGGAGGAAAGGGAGATGCTCTTAGTATTGACATGTTTTTTTTTTAATTGGATAAGCGAATTGAAGATTGACTTATCCAAGAGGGCAGCTTTTATACCTTAACAGATTCCCAGAAACAGGGTGAGGAAACCGGACAAATATAAATAAATATATGGTAAAAAGATCCCAGATTTGACATATATATATATAATATGCATGTCACAAACCAAGGTTACCTGGAGATAAAAAGGATTTTTTTAAAAAAATTGGAGTGATGTCTGCTTTGTTTAGAGCAAAGTTTCTCAATCTTGGCTGTTTTAAGGCATGCTGACTAGGGAAGTCTGGGATAGAAGTCCACGCATCGTAAAATGTTTAAGGTTGAGAAACATTGGTTTAGGGCAGGGGTCTTCAAACGTGGCAGCTTTAAGACTTGTGGACTTCAACTCCCAGAATTCCTCTTCCAGTCAGCTCAGGAATTCTGGGAGTTGAAGTCCACGAGTCTTAAACTGGCCAAGTATGAAGGCCCTTGGTTTAGGGCATATAGGACGGGGGGCAATGAAGCACACATTTCCCCCTCCCCCTTCCCCCCAATTATTAGATCCATGGGACAGAGACCTGGGAGGAAAGCAGCCAGCCATCATGAAGTTCAGGAGTGTTACAGTTTAAGCATGAAGAAAAGATAAGATAAGATAAGGTAAGGTAAGGTAAGGTAAGGTAAGGTAAGGTAAGGTAAGGTAAGGTAAAGGTAAGGTAAGGTAAGATAAAATACTTGAAAAGACAAAAGAAAGAGAGGTAAAATAATCCATCTGTATAACAAATGTCAGGGAATTGATATGCAGCAAGTTGCCATTGTCAAAGCTGAAAATATTCAAGTGCAGAACAAGTCAGCACAGAGACACACAGAGAGAGAGAGAATCCAGGAGATGGCAGCATTAACTTGCTGACCATGATTGATATTTCCCAGAGAGGAAGAAAACATAGAGCTAAGAAGGACAGAATTGTATGTTTGAATCCACCCTGTAAGGAAGAAGGGAAGCCTCTCCTTTCGGTAAATCTGGCTTCGTGCAATTCATGCTACGGAATTCAGCATGTAGGGCAGTTACAGGAGCCACCGAGGTTGCAGAAAGACCGAACCAATATAAAAAGGGATGGAGTGATTTGGTCGTCCATCTATGCTTCCAGCAGAATGAAGACTTTAGCGGGTTGGCATGTTTTTAAATACTACAAAGTGAGGACAGCATCTCTGGATACTTCTCCTGTGGGGGGGGAAGGAAGGAAGGAAGGAAGGAAGGAAGGAAGGAAGGAAGGAAGGAAGGAAGGAAGGAAGGAAGGAAGGAAAAAAGGAAGGAAAAAAGGAAGGAAGGAAGGAAGGAAGGAAGGAAGGAAGGAAGGAAGGAAG